AGCTGATCCCTGTCCGTGCTATTTTAGGATCTTTTTACTGTCGGACTTGGCTGGTTCCTCTTTGGCGGGCTTCCGTTTGACTTGGCAAGCATAAACTCCCATCTGCCTGTTATTCCAGCAATGCTCATTAATCATTAGACTCAGTACTGACGGTCAATATTTTTCATGTGAACTACCGCCCAACTTTACTTCAAGTTATACGTTGCCGGTCAATCTCTTGGTTTCTTGGGGTCCTGTTTGTATGCGTACTACTGCAAACTCCGAGGGAAATGAGAGGCAAGTGGCTGCATAAAGTCTTCCTTCATAGAGGAGGCGAAGTAGTGCTCCAAGACTGGGAATGGCTGCCTACATCTTGATGGGAAATAAATAATCTTTTTAGCTTAGTCTCAAAAGATTGAAGTTTATTAAACATGTAGCTCATGTTTGTACGTGTTCCGATTTCGCACAAGTGCCAAAGTTTAGTCTTAATTTTCATTTGGACAGAAGTAGGCCAATGCATTCGGTAACTAGTTAGCAAGTAGCAATTTGCTAATTTTAGTGATATATAATTTAAAGACAGAACTTTTGTTATTGCCTGGGAGAACTTTTAGTTTTTATTTTGAAACAGTGACAAAGCTCTTGTTCTTAAAGTTGCGAGGGGCTTCTGAATTTTTGCAGAGCCTACTACCCACGCTTTGAGAAAGATATTCGGTAGGTTGCCTGACTAGGACAACTTTCACACCTAATAATCAGTGGAGGGAGAGCAACTTATCCAAAATTTTAGATCCCATACTCTTATCCAAAATTTTCTATTGTGTGCTTGTGTCGAGGGAGAACAACTTATATGGAACAAATTTGCTTCCACGTGGCGTTTTGATCAATAATATAATGTCACAAGTGATGTGACATAATTCCATTGAAACGAAATATATCACGATAGTAGTGAACTAATTTCATACAAGTCATGAAGAGAAGAAGTCTTGGTTGCACAAGGTGACAAGCGAGTTTGCCCTAAATGTCAAGCATGATTGAAACACACCACATGATCAATATCCCTCGTTTCATGCAAACTGGCCTATGACTATGAGACAGATCTTGCACCTTCTCCTCCCCAACTTCGGACCCGAGCTCTCCCTTCAAAACGCCACAGGTCTCAAAATCCATGCTGCTTATGTGGCGCGTCGATTGATCGACCATAAGGCAAACAACTGTTGTTGAAACAACTAGATTAAAGCAAAAGGAAAAGAAAGTTGTAGTGGCGTGTGGGAGGCAAGAAATTATAAAAATAAAACAAAATAAATTAAAAAAGAGAAGAAAAGTAGGTCCAAATATTCTGTGTTTGAAGGAAAAGAAAGAAGAAAAACCTACTGTTTGAAGAAAGTATGTTTGCTTTCGTGATGAATATAAAAAGGCCAACATGGTACCGGTCCCCTCTGCTTAGCCTGAAAGAAATCTCACTTATGAGTCGACCATGGGTGTCTCTTTGTCTACCTCTTTAATCAAAGACTCTCAACAACAAAGGGATCCATTTTTAGACCAGAAATATTCAGCTGACTTCTTGTACATTGTTCATTGTTCATTAATACTATTCAATTATGCATCACATGATCATACTAAAATTTCATAAGTACATACTCTGGATACAATTGAAACACGTACTCAATACAAATACTTAGAAATACCATCATCATGATGAGTTTTTTTTTTTTGTCAGACACCATGATGAGTTATTGAGTGACATATATTAATTAAAGAATTCTTAAGTGTGGACGACCAGACTACGTGACCTTCCAACCACACACAAAACATCCTACTTTGAGTACTCTCTTGTATTTGGTGACAACCCCTTGTGTTTGGCACCATTTCATGGATATCTTACACTATTTGAATGGTCTAATAGACTATCTCATGATCATCTCCAACTGTTCGTACTTAGTACGTGTTTATACCCAATTAATTAGCTAAGACTAGGAAAAGCCAAAGTGGAGACATAGCTGCAGGCGTAAAATCCCATTGCTTTTGACCTCCTCTCAGTCTTAGTCGTCTAACAAAGAGAAAGACCTAGGATCTGGTGTAAGTAGTGAGATGAGAAAGGGAAATTGAATGGTTTAAGGCGTGGGGGAAATCTGTTTGGGCAGTGACACGCGAACTTATCGCCCCAAATAATGAGAGGTGTGAGAGAGAGAGAAAGACTTTCTAGTAAGAGAGTGGGGAGGGGAGGTCTTTTGCTCATCCCAAAAGCTTCAAAGAGAAGAAGAGGGAGGGGGAAGGCAGGTGGCCCTTAAAATAAAGGGAAATGTGGATGGTGAAGGGAAAAGGGAAGACAAAACCAAGGAAAGTGTCGGGCAGTGGAGGCCCAAGGCAGGGCTTCTTTAGCGCCGGTGTCCCCGCTCTGGGTTGCTGCCTATTCCTCCGATTTGCTGAATTAAATTCATCACTCATCACTTTGAGTGTGTGTAAGTGCATTGTTGCATTTGAATTTGCATGCTAATCAATTAATTAATTAAACAAATTTACTAAAACTGTGTGTCTGTCTTTGTTTTTGTGTACGTGAGTGTGTGTGTGAAAGATAGCAACTTTGTACGTACTACCCCTCCCTCCATTCCGAATTCTTTATTCTTTTTAGACAAATCACTTCGCTGACATTCTGCACTCCTGTTCCCAAGATTCCTTCTCCCTCTCTCTCTCTCTCTCTCTCTCTCAAGAGTACTACTGCACACACAAGGCACTGAATGCATCTTCTCTTTTGACTCATCTTTTAATTTCTATATATACCTATACATTCTTATACTTATTTGGGCACTACCAAGTGCCACTTTGGTTTAACTTACAGTTTGCATAATAATAGGAGAGGGAGGTCTATAGTGCTAGCTTAGCTAGTGTTCTTCTAACCCACTTAAAAACCCTACCCAACATTTTGTTTCTACCCTACGAGAGCCATACTTTCATGGACAAGGATTGTCTGCCCTCCACTTCCGGTGCCCTTCCCGTGCCTTTTTGTTTGTATGGTCACGGTTAAACCACGTCAACATTTTATATTACTATTCATTTTTGTCTTATTATATCTATAAAAAAAAAATATAAAATGTTGACGTGGCTTAACCGTGACTACACAAAATATGAGGGCACGGGAAGGACACCAGAAGTGGAGGGCAGACAATCCTTGTCCCTTGAATATATATCAACCACAAATTTTCTAATTATCATTCTTGGTTACACGCACCCGATCAAACAAAATTGGCATGCATTAAGGCCATAATTTTTTTAGGCAAGGGACTTTCAAAGTTTCAAAGAACTTTATTTAATTATTGAATTTGCACCACAAATGATAGTAATAATGAATTGCTTAAGTACTGCAAAGTTAATGTTCAAACAGTACTACAAATGTTACTATAAGTACACTAAGCAAAGGAATTCAAGACGTGTCATTCTATAATTTTCACAAATGTATTGCATTTAGTTATTTTGGAACTACAAAATTTCTCGTCGAAACATGGTATAACATATAATTTGAAACTTTGCATGATATACAATTGGTATATCATCATCATATACTGACGCAGTGACAGAAAAGAGAGATGAAAGTAGGACAAGGATTTTCTGCCCTCCACTTCCGATGTCATTCCCGTGCCCTCCTGTTTTGTGTGGTCACAGTTAAGTCACGTCAACATTTTATATTGTTTTTTTATAGATATAATAAGACAAAAATGAATACTAATATAAAATGTTGACATGACTTAACCATGACCACACAAATAGGAGGGCACCGAAAGTGGAGGGCAGACAATCCTTGTCCAACCCATTTTGCAGTCGGTTTGTTTCGAAACTAAAGAAAAAAAAGGTTATACATATATATATATATATATATATATAATATATATATATATATATATATATATATATATTATGTATGTGTATATATATATTACATATAAGCCAAGCATCTTATTCTTAGGTTAATTAATTAATCATCGAAGAAAAGCATGACATACTAATTAAATTGCAAAGGGTGGGGGTCTAGAATTTGGATAAAATATTGTAGAAAGAGAGGTACAATCAAAAGGAGCTGTTTGGGTTTTTTGGTAGGAGAATATTTCAGGTGCACGCGCAGGGGAAGTTGTTTGATTTTATTTGAGTACAAACTAAGCATGACAAACCCTAAAGTAAGCGTTGCTCCCCATTCACATCATTCCACTCACCTTCTTCTTCTTCTCCCCCTTCCCATCCTCTCATCCCGAGGTAAACCTACCAGTATACATTCTCATCCCTCTCCCATCCCTTCCCTCTGACCTCTGACCTCTCTCTCTCTCTCTCTCTCTCTCTCTCTCTCTCTCACACACACACACACACACCCAGATAGCTGTTTCTTTTGTTACAGGTATGGCACACACATGTTAATCTCTTCGGTGAACTAGCTCAAAAACTCTGCATTTGGTTGTTTTGACGACTGTTTAACCTAAATCCATAACCCTATAGTGCGTGTATATATCCACATATACATATATAGCTAAGATATCATGCACGGCTCTTTCTAGAAGATATCCCATTGTGCTATATAATTGTAATCTCATTTTTGTTCTCATGTATATGTTTCTTATTGCTGCATGTAATGTTTGTTTCATGCATATTTTAAAATCCCATTTCAATAATTATCGATTTTTTTATATATTCATTATTTCCTATAGTGGAGTATAAAATGTTATTGCCCTATGCATTTGTCTCGATGGTGCTAATTGGATGCAAGTTATTAATATTTTGAAATCCCACAAATCCACTTCCACAATTCTGGCCCCAATTCGACACCCTACAATCCACTATATACCTTGACCTTCCACCCCACCAAACGAGCAGCCACCTTAAAGTTTAATTTTACTCCACAGGAAATAACCTAAAAAATATTCTCTAATCATTCTTCTTTAATTTGATTGTAAATCTTAGCGTAGTCAAGTTGGTTAGAATAAATATGTGTTACCTCCTTCACATTTAAGATCGAATCTCTTTCTATAGTTTAGACTTTAGAGTGAATTAAAATATTGCTTTGTAAAACAAAAATGAATTTGGTTCGATGGATCCGACATGGGACCATATTTGGTATTCTTTATTCAAGTACTTTTGCCCCTTTTTTAGGTAAGTGGTAGCAGCTAGCCGGGCTAAAAAGGCAAAAAGACCGCTACAAACTCTTTAGTTTTGCCCACATTTTTTCAACATCTAGACGTGCTTTCGGGTTTCACGGTGAAAGAACATCTGCTTTTATGCTAGCTAGCTCTATCTTCTTTCTAATGGTATGGATATTAATTATATGCATGTTTGAGAAGTAGCAGAGAGCTAAGCGATGTTGGTGAGGTTCAATCCGAAGACAGATTTGCACATCCCCGCCCGCGTAAATTGATCTCAGATTGAGCCGCGCCAATATCACTTTCTTAATTATTTGTTGCTTATTCGTAACTGCTTTTCCTCTCTAAGCTCATCATGTTTTTATTAACTAATTTAGGGTTTTTGAGCTAGCTGCCTGGACTAATTTATGTGACTTGTTGCATGATATCGCATGGTTTACTGTTAATATCTACCGAATGTATACTTCTGTTAGTTAGTTTTGTCTTTCTTTATCAACAGAAGAAGAGTGGAAATTCAAACTTGGGATAAGCAGGAGAGCTAATCGACCGATGATCTCCTTCTCGATCTAGAGAGATCGGACACAGATATGCAATCTTCCTCCCTCTCTCTTGTGATTGTTGGTTTTTGGTTCGAATATCTGGTTTTACTTTTGATCGATCGACATAGTACTGTACTTTAAACGTCAACTGTAGTATTCCTTTTTCATGTATACTTAGTGACAGTTTATACTATCGTACTCCTTTCATGTACATGTTCGTAACTTGCATTCTTTGAACAAAAATTAACTAGTCATATATAGAATAGAAGTCAATTTTTTTAGAGTTCATCAAGTGTATACCGTTAAGAATGAATCTCACGTTTATGGGAGGAGGAGTCTTGCATGAGCTTATAAGTAAGTTGGGCTATTACCAATTGGTTTTATGGTTGAACCTCAACTTTCTTTATGGTATTAGAGCAGGTGGTCCCATGTGTGAAGCTCAACGATCATAGTGTTACACGTCACCCCGCTTGTGTTGTCCATGTGTTAGGCTTGAAAATTCACCACACGTAAGGGCCGTGTTGAGAATGAATCACACATAGATGGGAGGGACATTGCATGGGCTTATAAGTAATTGGCTATTCCCCATATTACTAATTGGTTTTACGGTAGAACCCCAACTTTCTTCGAAAACTTCCCATTGTAACTAATAATATCATATGTAGAACAATTCCTTTTTTTTAAGACACGGGAGAGCTATGGAGTCATCAAAATTAATTGTAAAAACAACATGAAGAACTTTTGTTTTTCATATCCTATATATATTTCTTGAGCATTGTAAGTCAATATAACCAATTTTCCTCCCAAACTAAGGCCAACATATCACGTGTTAAAATTTCTCTTTATTGACTTCTCCTTAAAAGCACAAAACACCGATTGACTAAATCCTAATGTTAAAAATATTTTGTGACCTCAAACAAGTTACCCATTTTTATCCCTTCTTATGGCCACGTAAGGTCCGGATGAGATAAAGCAAATTAAGTCCTATATATAAGTAGAAACTTTGCCTTCAATGGAGAGACAATTAAGGAATGAGGCTAATTAATTTGTTTGTGGCAGCCATTCAAATTAAGAATGAAACGTAATTTTAGCATCTTTAATAACGTGTAAAAGAAATGAAGAAACTGTTGATTTTTGATTTATTGAGTTGAGTTTTTCTTCTGTTTTTTGACGTTTCTGCTTCTCTTTATACGCGTTGACATTAATCTAACAATTTTCTTTCTGTATTTTTGTTATTTGACCAACCATTTTAGTTAGAGCCACATTTGCAACCACCCCCACCCATATTTTTAGCTTTTAGAGTAAATTCTGACCATTAAACTAACCCTTTGTTTTCCTTTTTGCTGTTTTTGGTTTAGATTATTACTTATGGCCCAGAAATATAGCCGAGCATGTAGGGTTTAGAAATTGATGGATGTACCACCTATTAATTTGCGTACTTTATTCATGGTTATGAAATATTTAGGCACCTAAAATCTTGTGTTTCCAGTCAGAGCAGTTAATTTGACTCGTTGAAAACACTTTCGGTTTCTGATATATTTCTATTAGCTAACTCCATCAAACACTCCCAAAATCTCAGGGCCGGTTGTTGAGGCTGAGGAAATTTTAGTTTCTTGAGTGGTTTGTGTGCATGCGCATGAAAATGGACGTGGGTATTTGTGAACAAGAGTTGGCGACGAATGCCACCGCATGCAGCCTGTTTCCAGCATCACTATCTCCACGGAGACTTCTCAGCGGCAGCGGTCGGAAGAACCATGCTTACCGAAAGCTGCCCCAGGAGCCGCTTAAGCTTTTTGTCATCAAATTGGATGGCTCTAGCTTTGGTATGTAAATTTAATACATGTATCACTGCTCATGCTTTTTTTACGTACATACATATAATTAAATAAAAACTAATAAAAAGAGTTTGAAAACTTTGAGTTTTAACAATAAGGACAAAATAAAGGGCAAAGTAAATAGTACCATGATTGACTTTTTAGTGTAAAAATATGATTTTTCGTTAAAGTGAATAGAACTGTGAGATTTTCATTAAAGTTCCCTGTTAATGAATTTTCTTCTTCTTAATGGAGGCAGAGATTCAAGTTTCTATGACAGCCACGGTAGCCGAACTGAAAGAGGCAGTGAAGGATGTTTTCAGTCAGTCGCCGATGCATGAAATGATTTCATGGTACGTATAAATACAAGCTTTGCATGGATTTGGTTTGTTTTGAAAGTAATTAGAAGGTATATATTTTGTACCATTTATTAAATATTTAGACCAGAAAAAATGTGATTCAAATAACTATTAAAATTTCTGAACAGGTCACATGTGTGGGGTAATTTTTGCTTATGCTATAAAGGTCAGAAGCTACTCGATTACAAAGCATTAATCCGACTTTTTGGAATCAAAGATGGCGATAAGGTTGCCTAGCTATATATTATTGATATGGATACCTTCAAACTTCTGCGCTGAATTTTGAGAAAGAAAAAATTAGTATCTCTAGTTATTAATGATCATTAATTAAAATCTTATTAGTTTTCAAATTTTGATCCAAATTCTTAGCATTAATGTAATAATGAATTTACATGTTAGTTACATAATTTTTCAAAATAAAAATTAATAATTGATTTAGAATTTTAATAGGCACTTACACCTTTATTAAACTCCTAACTAACTTTCAATTCAAAACATTTCCAAAATAAATAAAAAATTTGAATAAGTTTGTACCCATTAGCTTTTTTAAAATATGTTTTCAATTTTTTAATCTCATATGTACCCATTCATGTAATTTTTTCAAATTTTTTATCTTAAAATGTACTCATTCTTAAATATACCAATTTGTTATATGTAAAATGTATCATTTTTTTTATATAAAATCTATTCAATGTTTTTCTAATCCATTTTTAAACTTATATGGGTACATTCTTTTTTTCTTTGATTTGAGAATGTATCCATGTCAAGTTTAATTGAAGAAATTTACTAATGTTATTAAGCCTAACATCAATTTTTTTTTTTTTTTTTTGTGGTTTTGAAGAATGTACCCATGTTTTGGTACAATAATTTTTTGGTTAATTTTGATGAATATACCCATGTTTATATATACACACACACAATAGTATAATTTATATTCTAAAATTTTTAATCCCACAAATTATGGTTTTTATTTAAAATCTCATTAATATAAACAACTATAAATTTCAATTTTAATTTAAAAAACATAGTAACATACATAGAAATAAATTATCACATTAAACAAGAACTTCAATAAAAAATTAAAAAACCAACAAGGTTTCAGTCAAAGAATATTCATAACTAGGGACCACATCCAAAATCTCCCTTTGAGAAATTAGTCAAAATGATTAAATTTTCAAATCTTAATTGCCGAAGTGATCAATTTCGATTTATCATCACTATCTGATTGTTATGCCATCAATATTTGATTGTTGAGTCGTTGATATTTGATCGATATGTTTTCAGTATTTGATTTTGATCAATTCAACAACTGAGATTTGATTTTTGATTAATTTGACTGCCAAGATTTAAGTATATATTGTAATTTTACTGTAAAATGTGCAGATATTTTTTGTTCAACATGCTTCAATTAAGTATGAGCGGGAAAAGCGACGGATAGGGTTGTGGAGGAAAAGGATATGTGACATCCCTGCTTATGAACAGCTAGTGAAGTTGTGATGATGATGATTGATGAATGACAATTACACATGAATAATTTGCATGCATGCAATATTAGGGTTTGTGGATGAATTCTTCCACTTGAGAAATCTGATTCTTTCATGTGTTGATTAATTTGATTAGGCATATGTACGTTGTTTATAGTTGTAGCAAGAAACACAGAGAATTTGTTCGTTAAAATCAGTGTACAATGCAATGAAACTAACACACAGCAGAAAATTGTAAAATTGTGAATATTTCATGGATTGATTACTTACGAAAACCGAAAACGAGGATAGTACGTAGATCTTCAGATGATCAGCTTCAATTTGGGATCCGATTCTGCGGAGAGCATATACACTTACAGGAAGGTGCAGCATGGTTAAGATTTAAGAGGATAGCAGGATGCATGAAGACCAGGTCTTGATGTATATAGAAAGGGTAGTAAATCAAGATCTTCAGGATTATATCTGTCTTGGTCTGTATGTTTACCGCAAGTTTCAATAAATTTTAATGAAAGAAAGAATAAAAAAGCTCAAATTTTCAAGAGTTTTTTTTAGTATTATTGTCATGCCATGTGGTATTATCAGTGTTTTAAAAACCGTGTCTTAAGATGTGTTTAGGCAGTTTCAAAGACGGGATGATTATGAAAACACCTCTGTCCAGTGAGAGTAGACTTAAATTTGACTAGATATGGTCAAGACATGCCTAGGCGATTGAGGCGTTCAATTGGGCATCTTTTTGTTTAAAAATTGTCGAAATCTGAAGAAAAAAAATTAATGAAAATCTGAAAGTTTTTTAGTTGCTGAGCCGGCTGTCCTTCGAAAAAGATGAAGAAGATGGCTGTTTCGATTGGGTTTTTTTTTTATGATTTTTCGTTTTCTTTGTATTTTTTTTCTCCTCTTTAAACTGACCCACTTTTGCTGATAGTTATTACCTTAGCATATTCCCCCTGACATTAAACTTTTTAGTTTAACTTTTAATATTATTTTATGGGTAATACTAGAGAGACTAAATTGTCAAATTAAATGATGTCATCAATAAAAAATAAGCACGTTAATCAATACTTAATAATAATCAAATCATCAACCACCACATCACTTAAATTACAAAATTTAGTTTATAAATCTCAAAAGACTGAAAATAAGACATTTCAATAAAAGTATCGTGTATCCTTATATTATTCTTTCCTTATATAAGGGTGATTGGCCAGCAGATAAAAAAGATAAACATCTTTTTGTTTTATTATTTCTTTTGTAACGTTATATATTTTTTTTCCTTGAAAAACGTTTTATTATCATTGTTTTCTCTTTTAAGATTCTACGTATCCTACCAAAATTATATATAATATTTATGTATAAAAATTTAGGTCCCGTAAAGCTGTCTCATGCCTCAAGTTTTCGCTAAGCGAAACTATTCATGAAATGTCTCATCTACACCTTTGCTTTTTAAAACATTAAATATTACAAATCTATTCATATTATAATACATGAATCTACTTATTAATATTAATTTTACGTTCATCACACATTTCAATTATGTTGATAGTTCATATATATGGTTTACAACACATGTACTAGTAACATTGCGTGACAGTGACCACCCCAGTAAAAAAATTCTCCAAACTTTCGGTAATTGTTGACAAGCTATGAGTGTGGTCGTCATCTTTGTTCATTTCTGGTATTTGACTTAAAGAGAGAATTAAAGAACATATACCAGGTGAGATTTAAGAACCAGCCAACTTGCGAAATGCTTATGTCATAGAAAGTTATGCGCAGAATAAAGACATGCCGCTTTGCATCTTAATTTGTGGACTCATGGAAAGTATGTGATCAGGTGCTGAACTTTGCAGGAAACATGCTGATGCTGCTAGCTAGCTTGCTTATTCTTTAGGTAGGCATGACCTAAAATTTTAACTGATGATTTATTCGTTTTACACGAAAACTACGGGGACTAGAAGCGTGGTTTGGCCTGATATGCACAGGATAAACTCAACGGAGTTCCTAAATCGAACGAAGCTTTAAGCAACAGAATCCGCAGGACTGGAAAGAAAAACAGATGGAAACGAAAGTGCAGTTTTTTTTTTTTTTTAACAAACATCTTATTTAGAGAGAGGGTGAGCTTAACCTCACAATAGACTAGCGATAATGTGGTTCAAATTTACCTTTGACAAGAACTAAATTTAAGACTTCTCACTTACAAAGTGAAGAAGAATACCATTAGAACAAAAGTGCAGTTTTAGATAATAAAAATTTCATCGAAGTGACTGACATTAATTAGCTGCAAATAATAATCTCAGAAAGGAGAGGTTTATCTAATTACAAGATATATATAAATGTGTCTCAAATGAAACATAGGCGTGACGAACAATGATTCCAAAATATCAAATGTGCGCTCTCGAATGCAAGGGTACTTGAAAGAAAACGATCTCATGCATCTTTCCTAGCCTCTTCCACTTCTTTGGCTCGAAGATTTCATACACAACCGTTTTAACAAAGGCGACCTTTGTTTCATTCAATTGTGTGTCGAGTCTGCAGTAGAGGAAAGGGGTTGACCGCGCGCAACAATCATCTGCGTTGCTGCTTGCCAGTATTTAACGGAGAATCTCTGACGCTCTTAGACTGGCTGTAGGTGAGCTGGTGAGTTCCGTCAGGTTTCTTCTTTCGCCTTCCTTGCTGAGATAAACGAGAATGATGAGATAAGATGGCGAGGTCATTGAGATCCTGCAACGGAATAAGAACCCTCACGACTTCATCCATTGTAGGGCGGGATTTTGGGTCCCTACTAAGGCAACTGTAAGCCAATTGTGAGACCTTCTGGACCCCTTTAATGGAGTAGTTCAATTCCAAGCGTGGATCCACTAGAAGGGAAAGCTTTCGCTTGTCAGCTAAATGTGGCCGAGCCCATGCCACAAGGTTTTGTTCTCCGCTAGGGCGTTTCTTATCCATGGATCTTCTTCCTGTTAAAATCTCAAGTAAAACTACACCAAAGCTGTACACATCACTTTTAGATGTCAAGTGTCCTGCGAAAACGAAGGGAACACAAATTGTACTAGTTAGACCTCCGATTTCTTATGAAACAAGAAACACAATACAGAGATTTGAGTTAATTATTTCTGGATCAATAGGATTAAATAAGAAAAGAAGTTCACATGGCTAAAGCTCATTTGGACATTCATAATTTTCTGAGTGCTCTGCTCTTAAGGTTCGACTCTCTTATCTTTGAATGTAAAACATATACAACATACATGATCTTCAGCTATCGGTCTTCTTGAACTTCTAATCATTACATAAGGATTGTACTGTATCTAAAATTCCGAATATCTCGAAAAAATTTGAACCATCTGTTATGACTTTCTTACCTGTCATCACATACTCTGGAGCAGCATAGCCATATGTTCCAACAACCCTAGTAGAAACATGTGTTTTGTCTCCCTGAGGCCCGGCTTTCGCCAAACCGAAATCTGAAAGCTTTGCATTGTATTCCTATAAAGAAAACCCAACTTGTTGAATCCCTTAAGCAAAAGAATCAGCATTTTTAACCAGCAAAATAAAAGGTACACAACATACTGAATCGAGCAAAATGTTTGATGTCTTAAAATCTCTATAAATGACGGGTTCTGGACCGTTGTGGAGAAATGCCAACCCTTTTGCTGCACCAAGTGCAATCTTAATCCTATTCGACCACGGTAGAGGTATAGTCCCTTCAAAAAAATTTGAACGATCAGCAACCATATCATACAATAGTATTTGCAGATCATTATGGAGAAAGGTCGGATTAAAGATATGAATTTAACCATCCAAAATGCATCCCATTTGAAGAGATTTAACAAAGATGACAAGGATGAACAGGCAACAAAACATTCACATTCACTCACTCCTGAAAAGATGATTTTCAAGACTCCCGCGGGTCATAAATTCGTAAACAAGTAACCTCTGATCATCTTCGATGCAGTATCCGATAAGCTTTACAAGATTAGAGTGGTGGAGCTGCCCGAGAAAGTCAACCTCAGCCTGCATCGAAAAAATAATTCACATGTCAATTTCCAACATTTAAGTGCTCCAAGAACAATCCTTTTTTATCAACAATAATTTACTAACCCAAGGCAGATATAGTTTTACTAACCACCCATTCTCTATGGCCTTGGAGACCATCTGGCTTTAAGCTTTTAACTGCCACTGTAATCCCTGACCCGGGTTTCGCTGGCCCTGTCCCATTTTCCTCTATCCACCCTTTGAACACGTATCCAAATCCGCCTTCCCCAAGAATGCTATCCGGCCTGAAGTTCCCCGTTGCTGATTTTAGCTCCTGAAAAGTGAACTGGAGCAACTGGCGAACCGGCTTCTCATCTGAAGGCGGTGGATTAGGAGCATCAGAGGATAGTTGGGCTTCATTTGGAGGCAAGAGGTCTCTATTGCTGGCATTAAGATATCTGGTCTCTGTAGCTGTAAGTTGTAGTGACAGAAGGACTATTAGCCACAGAATATGAACATACATTTTCTACAGAAACTAAAACGTTTGATTCATTCGTGCATGGAAAGAAAATGGGAGTATGAAAATCAATCCCGGGCAGAAAGCCCGAAAACTCAAATTTTGCGGATATTTGTGAAATTAATGAGACATCGAGCGACGGGAAAGATATTGACCAAAAAAAATAGGTGACATGAAGGTCTTTGTCCAATTCACAAAGATCATCAACCAAGGAACATAATTAATGCACCAAGGCAACAAGTAGCGATTCATGAACTCGAGACCTCGGATGCAGGGATGATTTGCTTTTAACCAACTGAGCTACAAGCGACTTGCTCGTCAGATATTGAATTAGAGTGAAAGAAAAAGAAAAAGATTGCATTTTTGGTGGCTAGAGCTCAGGATAGTGATCTGGGAGAGAAATCAGCACAACCCAAGTTTGAGATCTGGACTACAAATCACATACACATCTTGATTTCTTTCATACAACAACAATAAAATTTAAATTTTTGTAAGAAAAAATGGGGTAACTTCATTAATCTTTTAAGATTCATAGATTTTAAGAAAAACCCATGTGGTAATTGAAATTTCAAAAGTAAAACATAAGCTGGATATCTTGTAAGAAGAAGATGTACAGATATACCTGCATCATAAACAAGACTAGTACGAGGGATAGTGTTGGCAGAGTCTTTGGAAGCAGAGGATTTGCAGGTACCGCTAACGCCGCGTTTAAGGACAGCCCAGCAACCGCACTGGTTGTCCATGGATGCTTAGAGGTGTTAGCTTTTATGGGTTGTCAGCATAATTGCATGGGATGTGAGGGAATAACAGAGAGAGATTTACCATGCTTTTATGCTTGAGTGTAAAAAACAGAGGAGAGAGAGAAAGAGAGGAGTGTGGAGAAGAAGAGAGGAGGAGAGAGAGGAATTTTGTGATGGAGGTGGTGGTGTTTCTGCTGCTGTTGGAGATTGCAGGCATCATCATCGCCATCATCGCAGTGTGTACAAAAAGAACTTTTTTGCCACGACCTTTTGTGTGGGGGATGGGTCCGATGCGAACGCCTCTCTCTCTACCTTTCTTTC